TGTTAAACTAGCATAAATTGTTAATATTACAACAAATGGTGAAATAGGTATTTAAGTATTAAGTTATTCTCTTCAGAGATTTTTAAAAAATGGGTTATATCTTATATAATTATATTTTTTATATTTTATGGAATTATAAAAGCTTATTTATCATGTTAGGATTTTATAGTGTTTTTATAGTGATGTTTTTTTTCTGTTCTTGTTGGGTCTGTTGCAACGTAATTTCGTTCTGCATTACAATTCTATTGTGATGATTTGAATGACATAAATAAAGGAAACTGAAACTGAAACTGTGCAGCAATCCACCAATCAGGCCTGTATGGTAGAGTGGCCAGACGGAATTCCCGCCTGGAATTTGCCAAAAGGCATCTGAAGCACTCTCAGACTATAAGAAACTAAATTCTCTGGTCTGATGAGACTCAAATTGAACTCTTTGGAGTGAATGCCAGGCGTTACGTTTGGAGAAAAGCAGGCAGCGCTCATCACCAGGCTAACACCATCCCTACAGTGAAGCATGGTGGTGGCGGTATCATGCTGTGGGGATGTGTTTCAGCAGCAGGAACTGGAAGACTAGTCAGAATAGAAGGAAAGATGAATGCAGCAATGTACAGAGACATCCTGAATGAAGACCTGCTTCAGAGTGCTCTTGACCTCAGACTGGGGTGACGGTTCATCTTCCACCAGGACAATGACCCAAAGCACACCGCCAAAATATCAATGGAGTGGCTTCACAATGACTCGGTGAATGACCTTGAGTGGCCCGGCCAGAGCCCAGATCTAAATCCTATTGAGGATCTCTGGAGAGATCTAAAAATGGCTGTACACCGTTGCTTCCCATCCAACCTAGAGCTTGAGAGGTACTGCAAAGAGGAATGGGCAAAAATTCCCAAAGACAGGTAAGTAAAGCTTGTGGCATCATATTTAAAAAGACTTGAGGCTGTAATCACTGCCAAAGGTGCATCAACAAAGTATTGAGCAAAAGCTGTAAATACTGATGTACATCTGATTTTACAGCTTTTTTATTTTGAATAAATTTGCAACAATTTCAGAAACTCTTTTTTCACTTTGTCATGGGGGATTGTGTGTAGAAGTTTGAGGAAATCAATCAATTTAATCCATTTTTTAATAAAGCTGTAACACAGGGGTGTCCAAACTCGGTCCTGGAGGGCCGGTGTCCTGGAGAGTTTAGCTCCAACCCTAATCAAACACACCTGATCGAGCTAATCAAGCTCTTAGTAGATATACTTGAAACGTCCTGCAGGTCTTTTGAGGCAAGTTGAAGCTAAACTCAGCCGGACAACGGCACTCTAGGACCGAGTTTGGTCATGCCTGCTGTAACATACCAGGTTAGACCTCTTTTGCCTTCAAGACTACCCTAATCCTTCATTGGTACTGGAAATATTACTCTGAGATTTTGCTCTATATTGACATCACGCAGTTGCTGCAGATTTGTCGGCTGAACATCTATAATGCCAATCTCCTGTTCCACCACATCCTAAAGCTGCTCTATTGGATTGAGATATGGTGATTGTGGAGGCCATTTGAGTACAGTGTACTCATTGTCATGTTGAAGAAACCAGTCTGAGATGATTCACGCTTTATAACATGATGTTGAGTTGCAACCATATGACCAACTGATTAGAAATTTGCGTAAATGAGAAGTTGGACAGGTGTACCTAATAAAGTGGCCGTTGAGTGTATGATTACACACACACACACACACACAAACACATAACATATATTCATATGCATGTGTTTAAAAGGACCTTTCAAGTGAATTTAATGGTGCATTCTAAGGACAAATGCTGTACCTGATGCAATCTACTAATACGTAAACACACACACACACACACACACACACACACACACACACACACACACACACACACACACACACACACTTTTCTATGTTTTACAACTGGTGAAGCTGTGCTGATGGCAAAAACAGTGTCTTCTCAATTATTGTCAGTCATGTGGTCTGTGTGTTTACTTTAGATGTAAACGTGGGCTCAGGTGTGTGTGTGTGTGTCTGCATGACCTCAGGCTGCGCTCCAGCTCACTGAACTGAGGTCAGAGCAGCACTGCTGGAGCTCACTGATTGGTTCTTACCTGCTGGCCAATTAGGAGGAGACTTCATGCTGCAGGATTCCAGAGTCTGCAATCAGATTGGCTCGTGCAGCCGCAGCATCAGACGGGTATGGGAACACAAAAACAATGTTGGATTGAATTTAGTCCAGGCCAGTTTCATTATTTGGCCTATTTGAATGCTTCTGTTGAACCACAATTTGAAAGTAACATCTGATTTTCATTCGTTTAAGTAGATATTGAGTAATCAAACATTACTTTTTTAGTTTCAGGAGAGACGGGCACTAGAAGACAGACAGACAGACGGGCATCATAAAACAGACTGGCACAAGAAGACAGACAGGCATCAGAAGACAGATGGACAACAAATCTATCAGAAGACAGACGGACATCAGACGGGCATCAGAAGACAGACGGACATCAGATGGGCATCAGAAGACAGATGGACATCAGACGGGTATCAGAAGACAGACGGACATCAGACGGGCATCAGAAGATAGAAGGACATCAGACGGGCATCATAAGATAGATGGACATCAGACGGGCATCATAAGATAGATGGACATCAGACGGGCATTAGAAGATAGACAGACATCAGACGGGCATCATAAGACAGACGGACATCAGACGGGCATCAGAAGAAGACGGACATCAGACGGGCATCAGATGGGCATTAGAAGATAGACGGACATCAGATGGGCATCATAAGATAGACGAACATCAGACGGGAATCAGAAGACAGAGGGACATAAGACGGGCATCAGAAGACAGACGGACATCAGATGGGCATCAGACAGGCATTAGAAGATAGACGGAGATCAGATGGGCATTAGAAGATAGATGGACATCAGATGGGCATCATAAGACAGACGGACATCAGACGGGCATCAGATGGGCATTAGAAGATAGACGGACATCAGACGGGCATCAGAAGACAGACGGACATCAGACGGGCATCAGAAGACAGACGGACATCAGACAGGCATCATAAGACAGACGGACATCAGACGGGCATCATGAGACAGATGGACATCAGACGGACATCAGAAGACAGCGGGACATCAGACGGTCATCATAAGACAGCCGGACATCAGACGGGCAACATAAGACAGACGGACACAAGATGGGCATCAGACGGGCATCATTAGACAGACGGGCATCAGATAGGCAAAAGACAGATGGCATTAGAAAAAAGACAGGCATCAGACGGGCAACATAAGAAAGACGGACATCAGACGGGCATCAGAAGACAGATGGCATTAGGACACAGACAGGCATCAGAAGACTGTAAAAAAAATGAAAACTAATATTTAGAACGATTACATTATTGTCAGATTAATTTGCATTCATAAATATATTATAATAAATATTTTCACATTATGAATGCAATATTTTAAAAATAAATGAAAATGTATTTAACATTTTAAAACATTCTACAAGCCATTTTAAACTTGATAAAAATAAAAAATAAGCTTCTGTTTTTTACATTTAGAACTGAAAACAGTTTAATATTAATTGCACAGTGATTACATTCATAGCCATATGCTTATCGTTCATGCTGCTTTTCTTAACTGTTTGGCGCCATCCTGTGGCAGACCAATAATATAAAATATTATTATTATTATTATTAATAATGAGATTAGTATAGATTAGTGTAGTCTGCATTCCTCCATTTTTGTTTCTATCAGCCTTCATTATTACTGCTCAAATCAATATTCCATGTCTAAACTAATTTTATGGCAAGTAGCCATGTAATATCTATCTATCTATCTATCTATCTATCTATCTATCTATCTATCTATCTATCTATCTATCTATCTATCTATCTATCTATCTATCTATTTATCTATCTATCTATCAAAACAGTTAAAACCAAAAGTTTACAAATATTAAAAAAGTAACATAACCATTTTTTTTTTAAATGTCTGATGGTAAATCATACTAAACGTTTACTATTTTAGGTCATTTACTAAATGCCAGAATAATGACAGAATTACTTTTTTTTTTTTTTTTGAGAATTTGTTATTAATTTCTAGATAGTCAAAAGTTTACACACATTTCCTTGTTATTTTTAGATTTGCTTTTTAACTGTATAACTTTGGTCAAGTGTTTTGGGTCTCCTTCCACAAGCTTCTCACAATAGTTTGAAGGAATTTTGGCCCATTCCTCCTGAAAGAATTGGTGTAACTGAGTCAGATTTGTTGGCTGTCTTGCTCACACAAGCTTTCAATAGGACTGACATCAGGGCTTTGTGATGGCCACTCCAAAACATTCACTCTGTTGTCCTTAAAGCACATTTGTACTAATTTGGCAGTATACTGAGGGTCATGGTCTGTTTGGAAGACCCATTTGTGGCCAAGTTTTAATTTCCTGGCTGATGTCTTGAGATGTTGCTTCAGTATTTCTCCATAATGTTCTTTCTTCATGATGCCATCTATGCTGTGAAGTGGACCAGTCCCTCCTGCAGCAAAACAGCCCCACAACATGATGCTGCCGCCCCCATACTTCACAGTTGGGATGGTGTTCCTAGACTTGTAAGCTTTCCCCTTTGTCCTCCAAATGTAACACTGGTCATTATGGCCAAACAGTTCAATCTTAGTTCCATCAGACCACAGGACATGTCTTCAAAAAGTACTCTTTTTTCCAGTGTAATTTAGCAAATCGTAATCTGGCGGTTGTTTTGATTCTGGCTTATTAATGTTGTCACACAAGGAAGCAGTGTGTTTGAGGTTTTCCTTAAATACTATTCTACAGTTGTGCCTTAAATGAACAACAAATGTTGTCAAATAGCCAATCAGAAACTTCTAAAACCTTGACATCATCATCTGAGCTTTTCCAGAGGCAGAATAATCTTATTGTGTGTAAACTTGACTTTCAAGAAAAGTTATAACAATTTCTCAAACAATATCTCTCTCTCATTATTCTGCTATTAAGCAGAACAGAAACAACTTTGATAATCCTGACTTAATCCTAAAAGTTTAATCACATTAACATCTGACGTTTTTTTAAATGGTTGTGCCTTTTTACAGTGTATGTAAACGTCTGCTTTCAACTATATATATATTTATGAACTATAACTATATATATATATATATATATATATATATATATATATATTTAGAAAATATATAACTATATATATATATATTTAGAAAAAAAAAAATATATATATATATATATATATATATATGTTGCAAATTATATATACGTTTAAATATCTTTAACAATACAATATTAACTGATTGAATGAACAGAAATGGAACTGTACTGTGATATACATCACCATCAGGATATGATATTACTCATCGTGAGATTTTTGTCAGATCACCCAGCCCGACCTGGAGTGGAGGATAAATAAATAATGACAGATTTTTTATTTTTTTTTTAGTGTGTGAACTATTCCTTTAAGAGCCTCCTCCTCCTCCTCTTCAGTATTTTTAGCTGATGAAGCCTCTTCTTCACTTGAACAACACACACACACGCGCGCGCACACACAGGCAGATGTGTGTACAGTATAATCCGTCTCATCATTCTCACCCCTCTCTAATCCATCCCATGATATTTGACCTCAGAAACATCTCAGTCTTCAGGGACCAAAACCAAGGACTGGATGCAGGAAAACATCCATAGCATCATCATCATCATTTTCATCATCCACACCGACCCGCATCATGATCCTGACCGCTTTCTGATGCTCCTCCAGCGCCATGGAGCCAAACGCATCGATGTAACCGCGTTTTAGAGACTCCCAACATCATCTTTCAAGACGGACGGGGTCGTGGAGCATCGAGGGAAAAACCGAGGCAATCGGGACAGAGACTACATGCCCAATATGGAGAGGGGCAAACCCGCAACATACACGGGCGACAAGAAGGCAAAGATGGCTGCAAAAACCAATAAGAAGTGGGTAAGACTGGCCACGGTGTTTGCATACGTCTTATCAGTATCTCTGGCCGCGATTATCCTGGCTATATACTACAGTCTAATCTGGAAACCCGCTGGAAATGGCAATAATAATAATAACAATGGCACCATTGGCACTGGCACCACCACCACCACCACCGCGCAACCCGAAAACCTCAACGCCACTGCCGGCTTCAGCAACACCACTGTCGGCTTCAGTAATACCACCACCGCGCAGGACAACAGGAGGAAACGCGCACTTTCTGAGGATGTCTACTCGTATGGAGACTTGTATAAGAGTCGAAGCGACGCAAAAACACGCGGAGGTTTGACGAGCGAGGACGCGCAAACGGAGACGCGCGCGTCTGAGGATTCTAGACGGAAAAAGCAAAGCCGCTTAGTTTCCGACAAGCAGAACTAATCGAGGCCTTAATGGGGACTTTTGTGGATGCTGTGGATGTGCTTTTTGACTTTTGGACACCTTATATAACACGTCTGATGTTTTTATTTATTTTATTGTTTGCCTTAAATGCGATTTAAAGGGATAGTTCACTCAAAAATGAACATTTTCTCTGTCATTCGCGCTTTATTTGTTCATTTCTTCTGCTGAACATAGATAATAGGTGAAGATATTTTAATATATGTGACTTTCATAGTGTTTGGTTAGTCCTTCAATTGATAAATGGCTTTCAGCTTTCTTCAGGATATCTGCTTATGTTCAGTTTAAGTAATAAACCAATTAAAGGAGAATAAATACACTGAATACATATAGATTCATTGGATTTGCTTACATTTTTTAAGGTAAGTGGTTGCTAACAATTTATATGGAATTAATTTAAACTAATTAAATTGAGTAATGTTCAACTTTGTTGATGTTCAGCCTATATAAATTGTTTGCAACCACTTAAAATTAGTTTTACATCCAATTAATCATTTTTTTCAGTGAGTAAATATTGATATTTGAACGAACTATCCCTTTAAATGTTAATTTATTGGAGCTTACACCCAAAATCCACCGGCTGGCCTGTCATTCAGCTGAATAGGAAACATCTTGACTGAGCGAATATATTATTATTATCATCATCAATGCCTTCTGATTAAGAATCAGCCATTATTATACGGACGCGAGCTTTTTAAGAAAATACAAAGCTTGCATGGGCTCAGCTAAACCTGTTAAACAATTAATCAGGATTCGTATGTTTAGAGGAACCTGCTCAGGTATGTGCAAATACTATTTATGTAAATGTATTAAGTAATGTACATATATACACACGCGACTTTTAGCATCACTAGATCATTTTTACTACAAATGATGTACCATATAGGTGTAGGAAGCATCACCGTCATGGTAAATAAACTCATTTAAAGTACAAAAGAAGCATCTTCTTGATTGCGCAACGGGTTAAATGTGGACACACACACACACGCGCGCGCGCAGTTGTTATATAAGGAGAAGCGGGCCCGCACATCAATCACTCTGACTCGATTATCAACAATCAAATTACCATTTAGTCAAGATGAAGCGTCTTTAATCCTGGATTAACATGCGAGCGCATTTAAATCGATGCGCAAGTGTGTTCACGGTGACCTTTGGACTTCATAAGGCGCAATCTGTAAGTGAATTGGGTTTAAAATGAGTGGTTTTAAACAAGCTTAAAATGCTGGGTTGTTTTAACCAAACGCTGGGTCAAATGTGAACTTTTTAACCTGATGATTTTGTTGATATTTGACCCAGCATTGTTTTGTGTATGCTGCGGTTATTGATTGATTGAATGTTCTGGAATGACACACTCCTGCTGCATTTCCAGATGTTTTTTTTTACTTCAACACTGACACTAAGCATACATAGAATAGAAAAAAAAATTAAAGATGATTCCTTGGATTTACTCAATTTGTTTTTACGTTAAGTGGTTGTAAACTATTTAACTGTGTTGAATTTAAGCAAACAAATTAAGTTGAACATTATTCAATTTAATTTGTTTGTTTAAATTCAACACAAATACATTGTTTGCAACAGTTCTGCATGCAACACTTTTTTTCAGTGTAAATCTACATTATGCATAATTATAATATAATATCTTCAACACTCTAAACATAAATACTGTTGTTTTGACCTAAATATATGTTTTAAATCTCATATTTGTATACATTTACTTATGATACAGTATAATATAATATCTTCAACACTATAAACATAAATAATAGGATGTTTTAACCCAACACTTGGTCAAAGATACACTGAAAAAAAATATTCAGAGATGATTCCTTGGATTTACTAATTTGTTTACGTTAAGTGGCTGTAAAATATTTATTTGGGCTGAATTTAAACAAACTAATTAGGTTGAATTTTATAAAATTTATTTATTTATTGTTAAACTTCAACACAAATAAATAGTTTCCAACAGTTTTGCAGACATCATTTTATTCAGTGCACTGTACAAAAGTAATTAGTTACTTAAAGTGAGTAAACAAATTGCCTTAAAAGCAAC